ATCGCAGTCGTATTTTGTAAATATACTTTTCCTTGTTAATAAACCTCATCTTTATTTCTTTGTTGTCTGCTTGTATTGTTAATATACGCTCAATAAACCACAAAAGTTTCATATTCAACAAAGTATTTTATGTTTTAAATTCTTTACAATCACAGATCAATCGACTAATTAAAAAGGTGTCCAGGAAAATTATTCGTGTATATACTAAGACTTTTGGCGGGAAAATTTGGACCAATTTGCACAGAGTTTCCTCTGGCAAAATTGTAACCAGACTTCCGTTAAAATTTCCCGCCAAAATAATATTAAACAGCATCTCGTGCAAAAGATTTAAAAGTAAACGCCAACTTTTCCTCTCAAACATCAAACAGTCTAGAAAATTCGGCTTCTTATCAATATTGACTATGTTTATCCCCAACTGTTTTTTTTTTATAACTTCAGTGCTTTGCACGAGATGATGTGTGTGGAATTTGTAAACGAAAAAACATCATGGCAAGCTAAGGAAACAAGTCGTGAAAAATTTGGCTAATTTTGTCACTTTAAAAGTTTGTCTTTGAAACCAAACAATTTCTTTTTAATCCTATTGCTTGCCACGATGGTTTTTTGGTGTAAAAGATCTTAAAAATGAAGCCGTCAGTTTCCGAATGTAACACAGATACAGGTTAAAAAAGTCGACTTCAATTGAACGAAATAAGAATTGTTGGAGCATACTCCAAATTTAAAATAATTTAGGCTCGAAGGGCCTTGAACTTAAATTGGCGAACCAATTGAAAAAATAAAATCGTATTAAGTGTTGGAGCAAGCTCTTCAAATTTGATTTCAGCCGTGAAGGCCAACACATCTCACAATTAGCTTTAAAGTCTTAAACCAAATTCGCGAAGTAATTTAAAAAATGAAATAAATCATCTGCCGATGTTAGCTCCAAGTTAACCACCTTAAATTTTTGCAACAAACTTTACTACAAACAGTTTTGCTTTATTGTAAGTATAAACTGAATTTCAAAACAAATTATAAGTTTTGGGCAAGATTATTTGTTTGTGTATTCCTGTGTTACACCGAGTTACTGCACATAAGATCTTCCTTCCACTAAAACTAAGGAGTACGCACTTGGGCCTGTAATTAATTGATGTATGTGTCATTGACCCAGTGTGAGGTCAAGGTGGCTGGTTATTGGCCAAGTTCTTTTCTGCCTTTTTTGATCCTAAGGAGGCTAATGTCCAGCCTTTTTGACCAAAGAAGCTTAACTGAATTAACTATTTTAAAACCAAATGCCTGGTCTGAAGAGCAACACGTCATTCACTTTTGCGAGTACGATTCACGTTACAAGGTTAACTGGATTACCCAAGAAGTTCGTAGTGAAGAAAGAACTGTATATAATCCAGCAAAAAGTTAACCATCGCGATATAGAGTTGCACAACTATATTCGCCTTTCACCGTGAGGACACAGTAAAACTCATCCTTTACTTGGGATAAAATGAGTTCGTTCTTTGGTTGGTAAAAATCTTCGTGCTTTTTGTTCAGATTTCAAGATCACAAGAATGTATTTTTACTTGTCCCTAATTTCTTGTTTTTTAGTGATATCCTTCATCAATTGCAATGTGCTGGAGCATTTAACAAGAAAATCTAACAACTAATTTGGTTTGGCAAACTATTGAATGAAATAATTCTATTTGTATTTCTGATTCGCACACTTGTCCGTAAAAATAACCCTGCCTTACCAAAATTTAAAATTTTTAAGAACCGATAAGAGAATGGTTTCTTCAATTTTCTTGTTTGTCCGGGAATACCACGAGACAATTATGCTCGTTCGTAACAGCTAACGCATAATTGCCAATAGTTGTTTTATTGTTTAACGGGCAAAAGATTGATTGGCATGGCTGCGTAGATTTTCGTCCAAAGTGCAAACTATTTTTCAACGTTTTGGGGAATAATTTTCTACTTAATCGAATGAAAGCTTCTCGAGATATGGTATAAAATCCTATAGTCATTGGTCACTTTTTACTGGTTTATATACAGGTAGATTTCGATCTAAGCAGTTTCTAGAAAAAGCTCTTGACCAGTCAGATTTTTAACGTAACATTTTCACTAATAACCAACCACAGTTGATTGCACAAAGTAGAAGTTCTTAGATGGCACTGTACAGTTTTTTCATTCATATATGGCGAAGAAATGTTTTTTTTTTTTTTTTACGAAATACTTAAATTTCGGGTCATCCTCGGTGTAAAAACCTGACGAGGTTTTCTTGTTTCATGAGGTATTGTTTTGCTGTACGCTATTGTTTATAATGTTTTGTTGTCTTTGTTTTACGTCACTCGTGAGCTTCACAGGTTTTTACACCGAGGATGAACCTAAATTTCAAGGTTAATTCAGTTCATGCCGAGATTCAATAGTTGTCAAATCAACATTTTTCGCCAACGTTTTCTCTTGGTAGCACTTTAAGTCGTTTGTAACGTGCTGATAGTCGCAGCCTTTTCTTTGTGTTACCAAGCTTTTGAAAGTCAATTGCTGAAAAGAGCGCAATGTTGAACACTGATTAACGTACCAGTCAATAGTGGGGTTTGAAAGTCGGCGCTGTTCAGAAGTGCGCTTTTTGAAATACATAATACATAATACATAATAAATACATAATACAGGCAAAATTTACATTTTATATTTCAATTGGTCTTTGTACGAGGTCTTTTGTTCGAGTGCCACCTTAACAAATATCAACTTTGTGCAACGTCGACTGGGGTATAATGGCAATACAAACTGTTAAGCAAACCAAAAAGGCGAGTAGTACTTCGAAATCAACGATTTCCAGTTTCAGCTAAGCTCTGTGGCCAAGATTAAATAAATTTAAAGTCATTACTTTAGTTATTTCAAGGAATTGAGATGATCTGGGATGAACTTAACCCAATAATAGCTTGTAGTTCAAATAAATCATGAGATTGTACAAGGTTTTCAGAACAATTCGCATCATTACGAACTATTTCAAAAATGGTGGCCAATTAAAAACTTTACACTTACCAGGTAACCAGTTTTATCCATTCCAATACTCGAGAGAATGAGGACTTCGCACAATACTTTTACCGTCCAAAGAACCACCATTTTTGCTACTCTTACCCAATAATTTGAAATTCTTATCTTTGCAGTATCCCACTAATAATCCAGTCATTCCAGTGAATCCTCGTGACCAGACTCTTTTGTCTTTCCATCCTTTTGACAAGTTTCTTCTGAAAATAGAAATCATGAATGTGATCAAGTAATGCTTACTGTCTCAGAACGAAGACGCACAATCTTAAGACCCTAATTTCTATATAATACGTACCCACTATGTACAGTAATAGATAAAAAGGGAGACACCGAGACTTTCGAAATGTAATGTTCAATGAAACAAAGGTTACCAAGTTATTTGCAGAAGAGTCGTCACATGTGCCGTGACAACATTCAACACTACTGAGCTATCTGAAGAAATTTAACACAACATTTTGCTGAAGGAATACTCACTTTGTGTTGTTAGTAACACGAGAGTGCTTCTATTACTTTTCTGAATGATCTAACGTCTTCTTTTCAGAAGTTTGAAAGGCACATCTTCACTCGTCGACGAACAGCGTGTTTGCTGAAAATTCTACAATTCCTGATGAATATGGATTAGCAGTTTCAACCAATAATTGACTGATACGTCTCTGAATTGGTGCGGAGTTTTGTTTGCACGCTTTAGAGCCAATTGAGAATCAAGAGGAATGAGATACATTGTGTGATAGGAATTGGCATGTGAGAGGAAGAAAAATCAGCATTTACTGAACAGTAGAAATTATTCTGTACGAGGAAAGAATTTTGGAATGCAAAAAAAAAAAAAAAGACCATTGAATAAATTCACCAGTAAGCGTTGTAATATTCAAACTGTGAAAAGTTATTTTGACAGGATTTCCTTTTAACTCCATACTATGCATTTTGCGCACATCAAGTTTTATTAATAACATAAACGAAGGGGCTGATGCTTCGCCTTAGAATAGTATGGGGTTACACAGAATTTTTTCATTTATTTCAAAAGCATATTGAGACATCAAAGACTTGTTATCAGCATGGAGAAAAATATGATGTGAAATTCAAGAAAATAAAATCCAAAACGACAAGATTCCCCGCGCCAGGGTTTGAACCCTAACCACGGACCGCAACAGGGTGCAGTCAGATGTTCTACCCACTGAACTACGGGGAACTTGTCTATACAAAAGACTAAAGTTTAAACTCATCGTTTAAGTGTCCTATGCACTGCAAAGATCAACTCTAGATACAGGCGCTATTCCATAGGACGACAAGAGTCTCCTTTACAACGATTTGCAATTGTCTCAATTACTAAGAAAAAGTTCTGTCCACTTCATGATTTGTTGTTTCTAATGAGGACAAGACGATCTTAGATCGTAAGTCGGGCTACAAGGAGGCATGCTGTTATGAGTGTTGACCATTCATGGTGCACAGTGGTTGTAAAATGAAATACTAAGAGGTACCAAGGTTCTGGTTTGTCGGCGTGGCGTAAAATTTTTTTCCACCCCCAGTACCCTAAAAGGTATTTGAGAAGCTGCTGCTGTGGAGTTCGAGGCTGAACAGCCCAAGAATTCTTTAATCCAGACATTAATAGCTGAGATTGTGTGCAAGAGACGGGACCTCCATTTATTCTTCGCTATCTGAGAAGACTAGAATATCTAAACCATTTCTTGATGTTATAGAAAGGCAACATATTCTTCTCAATTATTTTAAGACCTTGAGTGTTGGTCCGGGCGGGACCATTATATAAAGATATCAAAGACTGATTATCAACAAGGTAAAAAATATAATGAGAAAAGACAAAAAAAGAGAAACAAAAATGACAAAATTCCCCGCGCCAGGGATTGAACCCTGACTACGGATCGCAACCGACATGGTGAAGTCAGATGCTCTATTCACTGAGCTGAATTTTAAAATCATATTTTAGGTGTACTGGGCACTGCAAAGATCGAGCCTAGAAAC